CACACAGGGCACACACAGCACACACAGCACACAGAGCACACAGGGCACACAGGGCACACAGGGCACACAGAGGGGTAGGGCACACAGAGGGGCAGTACTCACAGGGCACACAGAGAACACAGGGCACACAGAGCACACAGAGCACACTGAGCACACAGGGCACACAGGGCACACAGAGGGGCAGGGAACAGGGCACAAAGGGCACACAGAGCACACAGAGGGGCAGGGAACAGGGCACACTCAGGGCACACACAGCACACAGGGCACACAGGGCGCACAGGGTACACAGAGCACACAGGGCACACACGGCACACAGGGCACACAGAGCACACAGGGCACACAGGGCACACAGAGCTCACAGGGCACACAGAGGGGCAGGGGACACAGGGGCAATGCTCACAGGGCACACAGGGCTCATGGGCACCTGGCAGCTCTACCTTGCCCAAAGCAACACCTCAAACATCCCACTGCCCTTTCAGGCTACTTTCAGTTCCTGCTCACATAAAACTCTGTTAAACAGCAGATTCTAAGAATAAAGTATCTGACTTAAAAAAATCTCAAAAAACAACGAACCACAACCCTTTAAAATTGCAGAATCCCAGAATACCTTTATCTTTGTGTTCCAACCACTCTGTGTTCTTCCCAGCCTGGAGAAGGCATATGCAGGAGCCACAGTGACATCCAAGAGCTACTCTCTGTGTGTGAAACATGCCACATAGAGATTCCTCACAGGACAAACAAACTACTGAAACTGCATGGAACCAAGCTGGAATTGCTGGTTTTGGGTTGAAAAGCATGTTCAGCATATGGCTACTAAATTTTTTCCAGGACAGTCTCAATGTAAAGGATGAGAACAGCAATTATCACCATGAAACAAGTTAAATAGCAGTAAAATATGTGACAATTTTTAGTAAGAAATGGAACTGAGACACTCTTGAATTTCAAAGTTTGCTGATTAAGTATATACTTTTTGTAAAAGCAGTGAATCCAAGCAAAAATGCATACCCAGCATTAGCAGAACACTATATCTGTTATTGCAAATCCCAACAGCTGTTTGGATATTCAAATACCAAACTGGAAGCCAGCTAGCAAGTGTGTGATAAACAGGAAAGTACTGGCATCTATATAAATGAAAACACAAACCAGCACAACAAAACAAAGCTGTCCCAGCACAAAAGAGTGAGGCTGGATGAGGCAGCTCCCACATCACACAACATAAGGCAGCCTGACACACAGACAGCAAGCCTATTTACCATGCTGCTTCCTAAGTCTACTTGCATTTAAACACCACTCCTTTGAATCTATTTTTTTCCATTTATAGATGCACCTGCAGCAAAAATTAGAGGTACTAAAAATTAGTTTCTAAGAGCATATTTTTAACTGTTTATTTATTTCCATTTGAATTTTGATTTGAAGAGGTAAATTACAGACTTTAAGTGAAAACAAACCCAAAAAATCTCTTTATGAAATCCATAAAAAGAAATCCTTAATGATTGCTCTTAGCTAGCTAACTCCTACTGCTGTGTTTTTAACCAGTCAGAAAAGGAACAGAGCTAGGTTTTGCAGTTGTTTTTTTATACCTCCAAGGTTCTGCATATAAAAAAAATATATTTCTAGATGCTGATGTAAGGCAGAAGAGATTTTAAACTCCACAGAGTGGAACTCTGGAATAAATACTTTTGTGTAAAAAATATGAGAGACATTTAGAAGGAGAAAGAAGACAGGGGAAGAAATGTCAGCTAAATATCCTATGAAAATATTCCAGTGTTTTTCTACTAGTATCAGTTCTGAGATAGTGATGGACACAGATGCTGGTGCACTGGGTCTGTCCTGATGGATCGCTGAACTTGTATTGGGTCCCTGCATTTGCTCCTCCTGAATTCCACAAGACTTCCAGCAGCCCACCTGTGACTTCAGCACAGCTCAAGCTACAGTTCCATAATTCCATGTATGCATGAGACACCAAGAAGTTGTTTCGTGGAATTTTTCTTTATCACAAAACTTCGCTCCATAAGGTGACCACAGCAAGCTGTGCACAGCCAGAGCTTTGTGGGGACATGAGACAGCAGAAGAGTAAAAAGCTCATGAAAAAATTAGAGCTTAGCTTAAAAGCTAGAAGCAGTTTATCTGCTGGTGGGGGTAGAACTCTGGCAGTGCCACAAATAACACTTATAATAAATCTGGCCTCAAAACTCGAGTGTTTACCCCCTGCAAGTCCTGCTCTGTACTGACAGACATGCATTCAAATGCTATCCCTATGTTATATGCATATGTAGTTGCGTGTACTCATTATTTTCTTTATCACAGCCTCTTTGCTACCATACCTCAAAGGCAAATGGTTTTCTTAACTCTAAATTATAATAAATTTTGTAATTTACTGCTACAGTGAACACGCAGGGTGCATGAACACAATTTTGAATTTTAGAAGCAAAGTGTTTTACTTTAAGTGGCAGCTTCCTGAACAAAATGAAAAAATCAGTTTTGTTGAGGGTGTTTTCTTCAACAATTCACCTTGAGCCTGCTTTCTGTATTTTTACATAATTGTAGGTAATTTCCTTAAAATTATTAATCCTATTTCATGTAATGGTGTATAAAAACCCCCTGTATGTCTCATGACACCTCATTAAATTCTCATTTCTTACTGAAATTTTGTAAGTCATGTACCAAACAGTTTTCTCTTTTGGACTGAAGTCAAAGAATATTTCAGTGGAACAGATCAGATGGTTACTGAGCAAAGTCCTTCCCAATGAACTTAGTGGTCAGCTTAAAACTGCTCAAGTACATAATAGTAATAAAATTATTATTTCATTGAAAACCATACAACTCTAAGTATATATTAAAGCCCTTTTAAAAATTATTTGAGAGGCTTGATAATCTAAATTTCCATTGACTTTTTAATAGGGTTCCACATTCTTAAATGGGAAGATGTGTTGAGAAAGCATCTACTATAAACTACACTGTTTTCACTAGTTCTGGGGAAATAGCTTATTCATATTTTAGTATGTTGTTGTTTAAAATGTTCTTTTGTTCTCAAGTGATAACAAGAATTATATGGAAAACAGAGGAATTGTGCTATGCAGTCAATGAACACAGAATAAAAGAATGGCCCTGATCTGAGGATTGTAACACAGCTTGTAAAGTCAATGTTACACAGGGGAGACTGAGGGCTGGGTTCAGATCTGTGGCCTTAGCAGTAAATTTTGTTAATGTAGTTCCAAGTCTTACTGGAACTGTTAGAAACTCAAAGGAGTAATTTCATAAATGTGGTGAAATTCACATCTAGTAAAAAACTATTGGATAGATTTATTAATCAACATTAATTTGCCTAACACATTCAGAAATTATCTTCACAAACAGATTCTTTAAAATCACTTGTGAAATTAAATGGTATTCTGTTCCTCACTGAATAGTTTAGATAACAAGAACAGTGGGAATTTTGATACACATATTTTGCAGTTCAGTCAGATCCTTCTCAGGCTACTTGTGAGAATTCACATGAGAGAAAATGATTCCCCAAGACACAAATGAACAGTAAACACAGAATTATTTCAAAGCACTTCCCATTAATTAGTTTAAAAATCCAAATGAATATTCACAGAAATAAACTGAGTGACTGGCTGAATGCTTTGTTCTCAAAGACTCTGCACACAGATAACTCTGGCTAATATCTCTGTGTACTGGCAGGAGAAAGTCAGGGCTTTTCTGCATGGCCCAAGGGGGGCTTGGCAGGCTGTGCCACGTTTCCATCTTACACAATGCCTGCAGGTGTGATCCTGAGGGAGTTTTCATTGGTGTTTGGTGGCAAAATTACCTCAAGAACTTGGGGAGGCCTGGAAATGACACTGGGGAGTGAATACTGCTGTAAGCTACGGATACATATAACTTTATTGTGCAAAGATCCAAGGATCTTCCTTCCTACATCACCCTGAGCTCATGGCAAAGGCAGAGGCAATGCTCTGCTCCTCAGCACTTGTGCAGGTGAAGAAGGTCCTGTTTCACCCCTTTTGCAAGGTGTCAGCAGGCTGGTAGCACAATCTTTAAAGGAAACAGCACCAGCAGGCCTTGGAACTGACTGAGACTGGTTCTTACATGATGCAGTGATCTGGTGCACATGTAGTGCACCAGAAAGTTCTACAGCCTGAGAACTTTCCCTTCTTCATCAGAATACTGCCCAGAGAGGCACCATTCCAAAGAAGAAGTTTCCGATTAAAAAAAATAAAAAATATTTTCTAGCCTTCATTTTTTTTTAAATGGGGAGAAGTTTCTGGAAAAACTCATTTG